ATTAATGATGCAGCTTTGCCATAATTTTCAGCCATACACTATATTTATGAGTATATGTGGAAATATATGATCACAGGAATGAAACTTTTACGCGGATATTAACATTTTAACAAATATTCAAATAGAAAACAGTTATTTTAAATTGTAATAATATTTCACATTATTATTGTTTTTACTGTATTTTTGATCAAATAAATGCAGCCTTGGTGAGCGTAAGATACTTCTTTCTTTCAAAAACATTAAAAATCTTACATACACCAAACTTTTGATGGATAGTGTGTATCATTTTGAAGAGTTTACATTTCTTATCCAGCTTGCATTGTGCTAAGCTAATAGGTTTTATTATCTATGTTGAAAAGAGTTACAGCATCCATTTCAGCAGTTGAAAACTGCTTCATATTTTTGTGGAAACCGTGATAAATTTTTCCAGGATTCTTTGATGAATAGAAAGTTCAAAAGAACAGCATTTATTTGAAATATTAATGTTTTCTAACATTATAAATGTCTTTACTGCCACCTTTGATCAATTTAAAGGGATAGTTCACCCAAAAATGAAAATTCTGTCATTAATTACTCACCCTCATGTCGTTCTGAACCCGTAACACCTTCGTTCATCTTCGGAACATAAATTAAGGTATTTTTGACTTTATGACCCTTCATAGACAGCAGGGGAACTACTACATTCAAGGCCCAGAAAGGTAGTAAGGACATCGTTAAAATAGTCCATGTGATATCAGTGGTTCAACCTTAATGTTATAAAGCTACGAGAATACTTTTTGTGCATGAAGAAAACAAAAATAACGACTTTATTCAACAATTTCTTCTCTTCCGTGTCAGTCTCCGCCTCCATTCATGAGAGTACCACGATGCATGCGTGCGTGTTCCTCTGCTTGGAAACAAGGCACGGTGCATGCGTGTTCTGCGTCAGAATGCCGGCTCCTGCGTCAGCAGCATCATCACACGTATGCTTCGTAGTACTCTTGTGGATGCGTGTCGAAGACTGACACGGAAGAGAAGAAATTGTTGAATAAAGTCGTTATTTTTGTTTTCTTTGTGCACAAAAAGTATTCTTGTAGCTTCATAACAACCACTTATGTCACATGGACTATTTTAACGATGTCCTTACTACATTTCTGGGCCTTGAGCGTGGTAGTTCTCTTGCTGTCTATGAAGGGTCAGAAAGCTTTTGGATTTCATCAAAATATCTTAATTTGTGTTCTGAAGATGAACAAAGGTCTTACGGGTTCGAAACAACATGAGGGTGAGTAATTAATCACAGATTTCTTAATTAATCACAACTATCCCTTTAATGCATCCAGTTAAATAGAAGTATTAATTTCTTTCTTTTTTTAACTTACTCTAAACTTTTGAATGGTATTGTATTTTTGTTTCCACAAAAATATGAAGCAACACAACTGTTTTCAGCACTGATAATAGTAATAAATGTTTCTTGAGCATCAAATCAGAATATTAGAATGATTTCTGAAGGATCATCTGACACTGAAGACTGCAGTAATTATGCTGAAAATTCAACTTTGCCATAATTTTCAGCCATACACTATATATAGAGCACATATAGGAATATTTTCATATATATAGAAGTGAAAATTATTACGTCATTGCTAAGAAATATAATGTAGCTTTTAGTAGTGAAGCTGTTGTATTTATAAAATTCACGGGGCAGGGGTTGAAAACCAGCTCCTGAATGTGCAATTTCTTACCTAACCTATACAAAGTTTCCATCTCAATAAAATGCGAGCGCATGCACATCTGGCAAACGTGTCGCCCTCGCATTGGGAGTTCTGCGGGGAATCAGATATGTGTGTATAGACATAGGTCGGATGACCAGATATCGGATATGTATCTGATTTTAAAACCACATTTGGAAGTGGCTCGGATCAGATGTGAAAAAAATTGGATCTCGTGCAGATTTTTGTGTTTACACGTGTGCAACAAATTCCGATATGTGTCGGATGTGAGCAGAAAAATCTGATTTTTTTGTGCCAGTGTAAATGCAGCCTATTTCACACTTCAGACCAAACTATCAATGAGAGCAACGGTACACCTGATCAGAATGAATGTATCTTACTCTAACATACCATTGAAACTAGTCAAAAATAAGTTCTCTTATCTTGGGGTCTGTATCACTCACCATCATAAGCATCTTTTTAAACATAATTTTGGCTTACTTGAAAGGATTAAGAAAGATCTTTCTAAATGGTCCCCTTTAAAGATTTATCTCATTGGGCGCATTAATTCCATTAAGATGGTGGTGGTCCCTAAATTTCTTTATCTTTTTCAATGTTTACCTTTATTTATTCCCCTTTCATTTTTTAAATCTTTGGACTCTGTTATTTCTACATTTATTTGGAACGGTACACAGTAAATTTGCCGGAGTAAAATTTACTCAAATTGAAGAAAATTTTACTCCATGCCAGATAACATTTGGTCCCTCTCTGAAAAGAGTAAAAAAAGTTACTCTTTTGATAGAGTTGTTTTTCCAGAGTTAATTTTGCTCAATTTAGTGTTAATATTTTACTCTTTCCTGTTATATTTGACTCTATTTAGTGTTTTTTGAAATTAACTATTGTACTATTTTACTCAGTTCAGAGGTAAAAGAAATGGACTCTGCTACTTTTTAACTCTGTTCAGAGGAAAGTCAAATTTACTCTACCACAATTTACCTCCCCTCCAGAGTTGTTTATCATGGACCCAATTCAGGAAATCATTTGGTTTTCGGGATCCTTCTCTCCTTAGCCCTGTTGCCCATAATCACTTTTTTTTGCCTTCAATGCAGGACGAATCATTTAAGAGTTGGTCCGACAAGGGGATAAAATGTTTCAAGGATCTATTTATTGATAATTAATTTGCTTCTTTTGAACAGTTAACATTACGTTTTGGCCTTACTAAGTCAGATTTCTTTAGAGTTTTGCAAGTAAGGCATTATGTTAAGTCACTTGTATCAGACTTTCCAGTGATGCCTTCTGAAAATCCTCATGTAACATATTAGCCAAGGGTTCAATTTCCATTATTTATAATTTAATGACCAATCTGGCATCTTCCTCTCTTAATAACATTAAGAGAGCTTGGGAGGAAAACCTTGACAGATCACTTTCTGAAGACACATGGAACTGTGTTCTAAAGCAGGTCCATGCATCGTCAATGTGTGCTCGGCATTCACTTATACAGTTCAAAGTAGTACACAGAGCACATATATCCAAAGTATACACTTATCTAACACACATACTTAGTCTACACCTCAAATTTGCACATAATATACCTGTACATACAAAACTGTCTATTGTAATATACCTGCACATACAATTGTCAATTTATATATTGTTATTCCTTATTTACTTGTTCTTTTAATTTTTTTATTCTTCTTTGATTATCTGTATTTTTGTTCTGTCGCTGTCATTCTGTTGCACTGCGGAAGCTTCTGTCATGAAAACAAATTCCTCGTATGTGAAAACATACCTGGCAATAAAGCTCATTCTGATTCTGATTCATTCTGATTCTGAAACAATAATGTACAGTATGTGGAAAATAATGTGTTTTTTTAACCTTAAACCGCATAAACACATTTCATTACACCAAATACACAAAATAATGTTCTTTTTAGCAACATCATATGACCCCTTTAAACTCATTCAAATGAATTAGCTTGAATTAACATGCACACACACTCTCATACTCTGGTCAAGCGAATGTAACTTCTGACAGACATTAACCAAGTGTCTTTTTCCACAGACTGCACCAGGTATGGTTTGATGCTCCTACGTGTAAAGGGCCGGAGCCTGAACGGCTGTTTCTGGAGGGAGACAACTCTTCATCTGCTGAGTTCTTTGTCACCATTGGTGTCTTTTCCTTCCTTTATTCAATGGCAGCCATTTCTGTGTACATCTTCCTCCTGGAGAAATACCGTGAGGGAAACAGAGGAGCTCAGGCTGTGAGTCTTCTTGCACTGTCCTTCCTGTGAAGCAGACAGAGGTGGAAAGTAACGAATTACATTTACTCGCGTTACTGTAATTGAGTAGCTTTTTTGTGTACTTCTACTTTTTAAAGTAATTTTTAAAATCTGTAATTTTACTTTTACTCAAGTATATTTTGTTTGAAGTATTGTACTTCGCTACATTTTAAAACACATTAATTACTGAGTAAAAAAAAATCACTCCCTACTACTGCAGTAGGCTAAATAATGGGCAGGAGAACAAACTGGCGCTAAAATCACAAGAAAGATGGAGACGGACAAGACAGGCGTTATGGTGCAGACCCAGCTGAAAACGAAACTACGTCGTATTCTGCTGAAGTTGAACTCGAAGGAAATTAAGTGAACCGTGCAGGGTGTGTGATATATATATATCGTTTGCGATAATATCGTAATTTTTTTAACGATGTACGATTTGACATTATCAGTATTTTTACCAAAAACCAAACAAAACACTCCTACAGAGTGCCCTTAAGTCTAGTAGATTAGTTAGACTAGTGTGCGCGCGCATTTAGAGTGCGTTCTTTCACTGTGTGATTCAGTCTGTTAAAATACATTTAGAATGATCAAAAAATTGAAGATATAGGGGCAGAAAATTTATATATTTATATCATTTCATATAGTAAATCAATATCACACGAAGAGTGACATTTTTTCTCCAAAAATCAGCATGATTGCATATAGATTTTTTACAACAGTTCAATAAACAAGAAGTTAATTAAGAGACTTGCGTTTTAGACACCATATTGCCTGTTTTTGCTCTATTTTGACAACAAAAATAATTCCAATCACAGCCAGCATATAGCACAGTTTTGCGTCTCTGAGCAATGACGGTTGCCTTGTCAGAATGAGAGTCCAAACAGCTGATAAAAACATTACAATAATCCACTAGTAAACCACACCACTCCAGTCCTTCAATTAATGAGTTTTGAAGCCAAAAGCTGTGTTTGTAAAAAACAAATCCATCATTAAATTAAAATTAGTCCGTGGATAAAACATCTTAATTCACTGCAGAGGATCCATTGGTGAGACAGTGATGTAATGCTACATTTCTCCAAATCTGATGAAGAAACAAGCTCATCTACATCTTAGATGATTTGTCAACACTGTTACACTTAAAATAGAATGTTATGAGACTGAAGATCAGTGCTAGATGTCTAACAGCCTTAACTAACAAATGTCATTGCACCCACTACATTATTTACAGTCAGTATTCTTACATTTGTGCCAAGCATAATATTTTTCCTGTAATAAACTGATCAGTATGACTTTTACCCATATTAATTATGGAAAACTATTGAGAGCTAAAGAGCTTGATAAAAGTGCAAACATAGTGAAATACTGAAACTAAGAAAACCTTGCCCCTGTTTGAGCCTTGCAGTAAAAAATAATGACTTTCTCTGTACAGATTATGTCAGAAAGATTATTTTTAAAGGGGAAAATGTCACAGTATAACAGGATGGCAGTGAAAGCATAATTATTATTATTTAATTATTTTAATCTTATGTAACCCATTAAAATGCAATGATGATGTGTATTCCAATAATTTGTCAATTACAAAATCTGAAATATAATTTTTTGTCGTTCTACAGGATTTTGTGGTGACAGCTATTTTTACCTTTATGTGGTTGGTGAGTTCATCGGCGTGGGCCAAAGGTCTCTCGGATGTGAAGAGGGCCACTGACCCTGATGAGATCATCGACCTCATCCCTGCATGTGACCACGAGGAAAACCGCTGCAAAGAAATCCATGAGCCCGTGGTGTCCGGCCTAAACACATCTGTGGTGGGTTCAGACACTTTAACACTCTCATTATGCACATATATTAAATGTGTTTCTGGAATTCCACGATGACACATGTGGGCAGTTGAGACAGGTTCAGCATTATGTAAATGAGGAATGACGAGATGATGTGACTCCTTGATGAAAATGTAGTCAAGCACTACGTTATGCCCTGCTATATACAAACCCAGCCAGAATGGTACTGAACTTCAACGTAGAAATGTGGTTAAAATAATGTAAGCTGTTGTTTCATTTAACATTTCATGCTAAATGGTTCTAAAAAGGATTAAAAAAAAAATACTTACCTGTATAAATCAGTGATTGTATGGCCATGATAAAAAGACGTTGAAAAAATGTTGCATTATCAACATTGATTCGATTTGCAAAAGTCAACAGTGAACAGAGCTGTTATTGTTAACTAAAACTAAAACAATTAAAAATTGTTTACATTAATAGAAATAAAGCTGAAAGAAATTATAAATATTGAAAAACTATATTATTGTCACGATCGCTACTGTGAGGAGCACTGAGCGAGGAACGAGGAGACGTGGAGCAGACTTCAAACAAACAGACTTTAATTAACATCCAAAGGAACCAGGAACACACACGTAGCGGGGTAAGACGAACATTCAATACCAGACAAAGAAACTCAGAACAGGACTCACTATAAATACACAGGACTTGACGAGACACACCTGGAACTAATGAACAATCAAACACATGGGAAAACTAGGTCAGGGCAGGCACATGGAGAGGGAAAAACACACAGATAAAGTCCAGGGGCGTGACATATCGCCCCCCTCCCGGAAGGCCCTCCCGGAATAACGTCCTTGCGCCGTAGAACAACAGAGAGGGGGCACGGGTGGGAACTTGGGAGGAGGACGGACACCCGGTAGGGGGCCGGCAGACAGAGTCCAGGGAGGTGACGATGGAGGGAGGAGCCAGGAAGGCGACAGGAAGGACTTGGAGCAGGAGGGGCCAAGCAGGACCCAGGCCACAGCCATGATGGCGGCCCACGGTGGAGCCAATGGAGGGAGGAGCCATGGAGAAGGAATGGCCACCGACCAGATGTATGAGCAGCTCACCCTCAGCCGTGGTGCAGTGGGCGGAGCTCCGTGCTCTCTCTGTCTGCGGCATTCTCCCTCATGGCGGGCTCGGTTGCCGGCTCTCGCACCTTGACAGCGCTCTGTATGCTGAGTTTAGACTGGCGTCATAGAACGCACAGAGCGCGTCGTCCGGTTGGCTGGAGAGGTTGGCGAGGACCAGGAACAGTCTGGTGTGGCCCTCGAGCGATCTTTCCCCTGCTCCAGCAGGAGGAGGAGGTATTCAGGGTGGGCGAAGGGTGAATACCTTTGGGTGAATTACCAATACTACTAGGGCAATGCCTGCTAGAACTAAAAATAGTTGTAACGTCCAGTGATAAAATCAGTGTGAACCGCACTTGTTTAGTCACATGTTTAGTATAATCAGGTGAACAGGATGTAGATGTATTTGGGTACACAAATGAATGCATATATGCAAATAACCATTTGGCTGATTTCTGTGGTTCCTGCAGGCGTTTGGCTTCTGTAATGTGGTGCTGTGGGCAGGGAACCTGTGGTTTGTCTTAAAGGAAACCGGCTGGCTTGCTGCCTTTGCCGGCACTTACATGCCCTCAGGAGAGAAGCAGCCAGCACCAGACTCCTCCGGCCAAGGTGGACATTAAAGTCACAGTCCATAAGTTCATATCAGCAAGTTTTTTTTGTAGCTGTTCTAAACATTTATGATTAAGTTAGTTTATGACAGTCACAACTTAACTATATTCTCCTTTAAATGTATTTTCTAGGCTATGGACAAGAAGGTTATGGCCAGGACCCTTACGCCAGCTCTCAGATTGGGTACCAGCCCGACTACAGCCAGCAGGGCGGTGGATACGAAGGTGGAGGCTACAACCAGTATGGTCAGGGTGAGCCCACCTCCTTCTCCAATGAGATGTGAGCTCAAGCTCTGCACTGGTGAGTGAACAAGCCCTGAAACCAAACATGACACATGTAACATTCTGCTGTTTTAAAAAAACAGCAACATGTATTTGTTATTTCCCCTTCATCTTAATGATAGCAGTACTCAAGCTGCATGAACTCAACAAGTTTGTGTTGATCATGATTAGACTTGTGCCGGTATTCGGTAATGCGATATATCACGGTAATGAATATGCACGATATTGTTATCGTGAGCACTTCTAAATACCGTGAATAATTATATATTACAAATTATTCCGAATTTTGAATGCATTTTAAGAATACTTTTCCCATCAACTGGTCAAAATGCACAACACCGCTGTATGCTGCGTGAAAGACGCGTGCGCACTCTGACGTAAACAAGCGCGGACGAGAAGCACATGGCGGAACATGTGAGAGACGCTCTGGATGAAAGCGCACTTTCACACTCTGACAGCAGATGGCGCTAAACTGCAGAAATAATAATAATAATAATAATAATAACCCCGGAAACCCTGTAAACAAAGCAGCTGCACTACTTCCGGTTTCTGAATCGTGTTTAAATGATTTAAACAGCCATTCAGATTTGTGTATTTGCTATGATGTTCATCACAGCGCCAAATACTTAAATATTTAGACTTAATAGGCTATTTATTTTCAAACTTTTTTTTTACATTTTAATCTGGACTACAACATGCCCTAGATATTGTTTGAAAGTGTTTTGATTCTTTATTGTTCGGTCACACTTTACATTAGGGCTTCATTAGTTAACATTAGTTAATTCATTAGTTAACAAACTGCCAATGAAAAATTCTTCTGAACATTCATTAATCTTAGGTAATTACAATATTTAATAACACGTTGTTAAAATCGAAAGTTGCAACTGTGTTATTTAATGAGCTAACATGAACTAAGACTTGTATTTTTTAAACAAAGATTAATAACTTCTGTAGCAAATGTAGCTATTGCTCATTGTGAATGTTAATGCATTAACTAAGGTTAACTAATGAGGTCTTATTGTAAAGTGATACCTATTGGTCTTTATAGTTCTTTTGCACTTTAATCTGTGTAAAACTTTTAACTTTATACATTTTTCTGTATTGCTTTATTGCATTTAAATGTTCAGTTATTTTTGTTATAAGAAAAAAGTTATTAAACCTGTTATACTGTAACAGGATGTAGATGTATTTGGGTACACAAATGAATGCATATATGCAAATAACCATTTGGCTGATTTCTGTGGTTCCTGCAGGCGTTTGGCTTCTGTAATGTGGTGCTGTGGGCAGGGAACCTGTGGTTTGTCTTAAAGGAAACCGGCTGGCTTGCTGCCTTTGCCGGCACTTACATGCCCTCAGGAGAGAAGCAGCCAGCACCAGACTCCTCCGGCCAAGGTGGACATTAAAGTCACAGTCCATAAGTTCATATCAGCAAGTTTTTTTTGTAGCTGTTCTAAACATTTATGATTAAGTTAGTTTATGACAGTCACAACTTAACTATATTCTCCTTTAAATGTATTTTCTAGGCTATGGACAAGAAGGTTATGGCCAGGACCCTTACGCCAGCTCTCAGATTGGGTACCAGCCCGACTACAGCCAGCAGGGCGGTGGATACGAAGGTGGAGGCTACAACCAGTATGCTCAGGGTGAGCCCAGTTTGGCTTCTGTAATGTGGTGCTGTGGGCAGGGAACCTGTGGTTTGTCTTAAAGGAAACCGGCTGGCTTGCTGCCTTTGCCGGCACTTACATGCCCTCAGGAGAGAAGCAGCCAGCACCAGACTCCTCCGGCCAAGGTGGACATTAAAGTCACAGTCCATAAGTTCATATCAGCAAGTTTTTTTTGTAGCTGTTCTAAACATTTATGATTAAGTTAGTTTATGACAGTCACAACTTAACTATATTCTCCTTTAAATGTATTTTCTAGGCTATGGACAAGAAGGTTATGGCCAGGACCCTTACGCCAGCTCTCAGATTGGGTACCAGCCCGACTACAGCCAGCAGGGCGGTGGATACGAAGGTGGAGGCTACAACCAGTATGGTCAGGGTGAGCCCACCTCCTTCTCCAATGAGATGTGAGCTCAAGCTCTGCACTGGTGAGTGAACAAGCCCTGAAACCAAACATGACACATGTAACATTCTGCTGTTTTAAAAAAACAGCAACATGTATTTGTTATTTCCCCTTCATCTTAATGATAGCAGTACTCAAGCTGCATGAACTCCCTAATCATGATGATCATGTTCTTGAGCATCTGATGAATCTTGTGCTTCAGTGGAATCAAGAACATCTGATTGTTTGTAAAAAGAGTCACATAATCAGTAACACAAATTTACTAATTTTATTAGTTACAGAAAAATAGTGATAATCAGAATAATCAGAAATATTTATTTTGTATTCATTTGAAATCATTTTAAATTATAACCTTTGTTTTAATTATTTTATTGAAAATCTTTTAAATAAAAAAGAGTCACAGATTTTCAAAGTGGTTTCAGATTATTGGTGCCCATTATATATTGCTCACTACACACACTGACCTTCACAGAGGTCAGTATATATATATATAATACAGATTGTGTCAAAGCAGCTTTACAGTGTCAAACAGGAAAATATGCTAGTATTAATTGGTCAGGTGCTGACGAAAATGATGTGTCTTTAGACGTTTTTTGAAAATGGCTAAAGACTCAGCTGCTCAAATTGAGAAGGATCAGTTGCAGAGGCCTGATAGTACATGCTGGAAGGCCCACCAAGAGCATTGCATTACAATAGTCCAGTCTGGAGAGAGTAAGAGCTTGGACAAGGAGTTGTGCGGCCTGCTCTGATAGGAAGGGTCTTATCTTCCTAATGTTGTATAAGGCAAATCTGCAGGACTGGCCGTTGTAGCAATAGGGTCTGTGAAGCTTAACTGATCATCAGTCACAACTCCAAGGCTCCTGTCTGTCCTGGAAGGAGTTGTGGTTGACAAACATAGTTGTATAGAGAAGTTGTGATGAAGTTCTGTGTTGGATGAGACCACGAGCAGTTCTGTATTAGCAAGGTTGAGTTGAGGGTGATGGTCCTTCATCCAGCCAGAAATTTCTGTCAGACAGTCTGCAATGCGAACAGCTACCGTTGGATCATCTGGTTGGAATGAGAAGTAGAGTTGAGTGTCATCAGCATAGCAATGATAGAAAAAGCCATGTTTCTGAATGACAGATCCTAATGATGACATGTAAATGGAGAAGAGAATTGGTCCAAGCACTGAGCCCTGAGGAACCCCAGTAGCAAGAAGTTGTGACTTAGAAACCTCACCCCTCCCAAGACAGCCTGAAGGACCTACCTGAGAGGTAAGACTTGAACCACTAGAGTGCAGTTCCTGAGATGCCCATCTTCGTGAGGGTGGAAAGGAGGATCTGGTGGTTAACTGTGTCAAAAGCAGCAGACAGATCCAGCAATATGAGTACTGAGGATTTGGAAGCTGCTCTTGCCAGTCTCAAGGCTTCAGTAACCGAGAGCAGGGCAGTCTCAGTTGAGTGGCCGCTTTTGAAGCCAGATTGGTTGTTGTCCAGGAGGTTGTTCTGTGCGAGAAACATACAGAGTTGGTTGAACACAACTCGCTCAAGTGTCTTTGCAATGAATGGAAGAAGGGATACTGGTCTGTAGTTTTATAAAAGTGCTGGATTTAGAGAGGGTTTCTTAAGCAGTGAGGTTACTCTAGCCTGCTTAAATGCTGTGGGAAATGTACCAGTGTGAAGAGAGGTGTTGATAATGAGATTGAGCGCAGGTATAATTGAAGAAGAAATGGCCTGAAGGAGGTGAGTGGGGATAGGATCAAGCGGACAGGCAGTAGGATAATTGGAAAGGATAAGTTTGGAAACATCTGCCTCAGAGAGGGGAGAGAAGAGAAGGTTTTGAAAAGTGTGCGAAAGTCAGAGCAGTTGTTAATTTTGTTGTGGTAGTATGTCGTTTTGGCAGTGGAGACATTTGCAGAGTAGGAAGAGAGGAGTGACTGATACAAACTAAGGTCAGTAGAGTTTTTTGATTTGTGCCACTTCCTCTCTGCAGCCCTGAGCCTAGAGCAATGTTCACAGAGAACATCGGACAGCCAGGGGCCAGAGGGGGTGGTGCGTGTGGGTCTGGATGAAAGTGGGCAAAAGTTGTCTAAGCAAGATGTTAGAGTGGAGCAAAGTGTTTCCCCATTCAAAGAGATAGAAGCTGCACTTGCATGCCTGAGTGGCGTTTCAAAGATGGCTGCCGAGTGACATGACTTGCCTTAAAAGGACTTTGGCTGAACTTACATTGTGCACATTATGCCATGTACATAGCCATATGCTTTTTAAAATACAATTTACATGTTTGTGTATTGTTGTTTAAACTTTTTTACACATTTTCATGGATAAAAGTTGTAAACATTTAAACGCGTGTCTTCTTTATAGATCACAGCAAGAGGATGGGCATGTGATCAGCCAGCATGGAAATACTAGCTATGTTTCCTCTCTCTTCAGTCTTTCTTTATGAGCATTGGGTTTAAAAGGAAGGGGTGGGTGAGGGCTAAAGCACATTTAAGAAATGTTATAGCAGGGTTGTTACTAAATCATAGCCAGGAGAAAATGCTTTGGACCCGGGAGGAAGTGAGGATCCTGATTTCAACATACTGTCTATCACATCGAATCCAGCGGGAGATCATCTGTCCTATTATGATGAGGAAAAACTTGAATATGCTACCAAAAAATGAATGACACCTATGATATATGCTACATATGTTGAGCTGTTTGAATGAATTATAGTAATATTATACTGAATGTGTTTCTGTGTGATGTAAATATGAATTATATTTAAATAGATATGCTGTATTGTGAATTTAACTGTCGCTTTTTTTGTGATTTCACTTGTAGTCTCCACATTTGTTTTGTTTTTATTTATTGTAGTGGTGTTTTCCCTGTATTCATTCAACCCACAGTACTGACCTTAAACCTCCTATTGAATGTGTTTTTCTTTTTTTATTTGTGTGAAACTTTCTTTTAAGGTTCATGAGAGCACGAAGATTAAATAGTATCAAATAGTAATGTGTCAATCACTACTAAAAGTGTTAACAAAAGTCAGTAGACATAAATCTGGTAGGGAGAGAAACTGAGGAACACTGGAAAAACTAAAGAACAACGTGAAACCGGAAGTACAGATGTACATGCACAAAATTTATTTCCTTTTATGTTTTGGTTAAATGTCCAAACCTTTATAATCTAAAGCACATATGTATTGTTGATGCTATAAAACGACTTGTACAATATAGTAAACTTGATCATGGGTGCTTCAGTGCTTGATGTTTGGTTTTTCTAGTGCTGTGAAACTCCACTGATGCTCTTATTCAGACATGAGTGTGAATGTGAACCAATGATAGTCTTTCTGAAAAGTCATTTCCATGTGTTTTGGCTTTTTGTTCAGATGGAAATGGATGTTTTAATGCTGTCTCTGTCTCTCTGCCTGTACATGCAGGTCCATGTAGCTTTCTTTCTCTCCCTCATTATATGATCTGATAATGCAAAATAAAATAATGTTAGAGAATGATGAGTGATGACATTAATACTCCAGTGTGTTTGTTTTTTATAGAACGCAGGTTTTCATGAATTCTAATGTCTTACACTTTCACGTAGAGCCATTGTAATTTCCTTATGTGGTTAGAGGGAATACTGATTGACTAATTTGTTATTAAAATGTTTATCATATGGTTGAAACATTTTGAGTTCTCTAGGGATGCAAGATATAGGATTGTGTATCATTCCTGATCTTATAACAGACATGGTTGATGCCTTTTAATACCAGAAGAGGCAGACATTTAGTAAATTATACGACTGTTTAGAACTGTTGGACTAGAAGTAACTAACAAAAATAAATATGCAAAATAAAATGCATAAAAACAACTGAAAATATTATTATATTATATTGGAAATTAAATCTACATTTACATTTTGACATGTTATTTTTTCTTGTTAAGTACGCTACCATTCAGAAGTTTGAGGTCGGTAAGTTTTGCATTGTTTCAAATAAATGCTGTTTTTTTTTTTACTTTATATTCATCAAAGACAATTTTATCACAATTTTCACATATATTGCTATTAAGCTGCACAACTGTTTTCAACATAATGATAATAAATGTTTGTTGAGCATCAAATCATCATATGAGAAGGATTTCTGAAGGATCATGTGACACTGAAGACTGAAGTAATGATGCTGAAAATTCAGCTGAATAAATTACATTTAAAAATATATTCACATAGAAAACATTTATTTTAAATTGTAATAATATTTCACAGTATTAATGTTTTTACTATATTTTGATCAAATAAATTCAGCCTTGGTATAAGAGACATTTTTGAAAAACATTTAAAAAAAATCTTACTGACCTCAAACTTTTGAATGGTAGTGTGCACAATCACTTATACTATTCTACTTAAAATCCACAGTAAACCTGAATTAGAGTTTCTTTTCTATTAGTGTATTCATTTACATCTTTAAGGAAAAGTTGATCTAGCTTGCATTCATTTTACAAGTGCTACAGTATAAATATCACAATTATTATCAATACCGTGATGGAACAATGATTGATGTCTTGATGGTTTCTTCTCATCTTTGCAAGACAAGTGGTGTTCTGAAATAGACTGTAAGCCAGAAAAAGTGTGGTTTCCTGTTGCATCCTCCCTGCTTTTGGCAGCACATTTGTTATGATCACTCACTTCTAGTGTTGCCAAAACAAGGCCTTCTCTCTCTCTCTCTCTCTCTGTGTGTGTGTGTGTGTGTGTGTGTGTCTGTGTGTCTGTGTGTGTGTGTCTGTCTGTGTGTGTGTGTGTGTGTGCGTGTGCGCGCAAAAGTTCTTATAGCACAGAGTATTCCCACAGTGTCAATTAAAATCAAATCGTTAACTATAAATGATAGTTTCCATGAATTCATTCTCTCTCTCTCTCTCTCTCTCTCTCTCTCTCTCTCTCGAGTTCAAGTTCAAGGTGCTTTATTGGCATGACATTTGTGTTACAGTATTGCCAAAGCATTCTAGATGTGTACAATACACAATATGATTACACCATGAAAGTAAAAAAGGAGACAAAAAATGAGTAATAAATAAGAGAAAATAAATGAATAAATACAATGAAATAAAAATAACAACAGTAGACAGTATTTCTAATATTAATAATAATAATTACAATTAAATACAATGAAGAATGTCAAATAAAGCAAATGAATTAACCATTTCGTATGGTGTGTAAGGTGTATACATAGTTTGCAGCTAGTTTGTCTGCGATCTCATCCTCTCCGAGTATATAGAGTCATCCAGAGAAAAAAATTAACAATTCAATGCTTCAAATTGTGGAAAGAATATTTGCCTTGTGGTGTATTTGGGGCAGACAAGAAGAAAGTGTTTCTCATCCTCTATTTGATTCAGGTCACAGTGTTTGCATAGTCGCTGTTCTCTCGGTGTCCTCGGTGGATCCTCGGATATCTCGGTGCCCTCTCATTCAAGGCCTTCACAGCTAGACTGAAGCCCCCTGATGCTGAGATCTCGATGCCCAGGTAAGTGTAGCTGGTGCTGAGAAGCATACAGCAGGCATTTGACTTAAGAGTCGTGCAGAGCGAGGCCCGGGATGCTGCCGGAGCGGTCCAGAAAGTGTTGGGGGGGTACTGGTGACAGTGTGTGATTCAGGGAATTTGGTTTTTAATTGGTAATGTGTAGGAATGTTATATTTGTACTGGTTATATAATTAAAGTGGTTGAAAAGTCAAAAAGTCTCTCTCTCTCTCTCTCTCTCTCTCTCTCTCTCTCGTCAGCGTAGCTTCACTCCCTGTAAATCAGGAGAAAGAAACACATTCCAGATGGGAAGCATTCACAGTAAGTTTCCCCATTCAGAACCATCTGTAAAAATAAACTGTAAATAAAGAAGCAAAAAATGAAGGAAAAAAGGAGAGAAAAAAAAGTAATTCACAGAAATAACTATAGGTCCCAAAAACGCATTGTAGCAGAACCATGGCTCAGTAATGGTATCAAATGATAATACCACGCTACTTTGATATGCATCATACTGAATGATTGACATGGGTGAACCTCATGAATCCTGTCAAGAACATGGGTGGCTCATATTTCACTGTAAAATCAACATATTTTGTCTGAAGAATTTTTTTTTATTTTGGAATGCTACAATTTTTAATTTTGCATCAAAATTAAATGCATCCCTAATAATTTTCAGTACTGTAATTGAAAAAAGAATCACATTACTATTTACTATTATGCAAATAATAATAATAATAACAACAACAATATTGATTTTATTTTTTTAAACACTGATTTTTTAGTCATTTTTATTAAAAAAAAATACATATCGCAATGAAACGCACACACACACAGAACTCAAAAGCTCAAAAGAAACAGTAAAACAATGACGATAATGAGACATTTCATGAAAGTAATATCACAAAGAAAAAAGGTCCAAAATGTTTTTATTATATACAAAAAAAAAATGAATGAATTCATTTGTTAGCATACGTTTTTATTTTTTAAAGCAGAGTCCTATCAAACATCTCCAAAGTTAGAGTTTTAGTTTTCCAATGCAGTTTTAAACGGAGGCTACTGCGGTTTCCTTTTTGAAAACCCGTTATGAATGTAATAGTCTTTCAAAGACAGCTCAGCACTGGTAGTTTGCTGAATGAACATTTCCACCGCTCACAGCTATAATTATTTCGGGCCGGGTTTCAAAACCTAGCGCGCTGCCTACTCAGACAACATTTGTAGGTATTTCAGCTGCTGAGTCGGAACGCCTTCAAACGCTGTCTCGCTTCCTTCAAGAAAGAGCAAGTACACTAAAGCCGTAGCCAACGCCCCGCGCACACTCACTCACTCGCTCACTCCTCTCGCGCTCAGTACAGCTCTGCTGCTCTACAGTCCGACTCACTCAGGAAGCTCATGAAGACGCTGCGCCAAAGTCGACGGAATAACTCAATAACTGCGTTTTCTTTTTCTCGTCCCGGTGTGTTTTAACAGATTAGTGTTTGTGAGAGTTTGCTGATACGGGCTCTAGGCTTCATAAGAAGGCGTTATTTCATAGGAAAACGTTACAGAATGGCAGAAACCGAGGGAAGTCCGTTTGGAGGCTGTTTGGAGAAACTCAAGAGCTACGTGCGAACTCGGAAAGGAACTATCCTGACCGCTGAAATAGTAAGTTATTAACACGACTGTGACTTTAACTTTACTTACATCTCATTTCGTACGCCGCTTGCACTGTGCCGAGAGAAATAACGTCAGTTACAAAATAAATAAACAAGATACTGTGGATTAAAATGATCTGTTGTCATGGAGACGCTCCCAACTCGCTGAATAAGAATAATTCACCTGTTGATTCACACACTTGAGTCACGGAGAAAGTTCATTGCGCTTGTTTGTATTTCATACCACAACGTATATGGTAAACATTGTGTCTAATAGTGTGTACAGTGTCTGTCAGTGTCTTAACTTTTAACCATAAACCACATACTTTTCACTTTAAGAGCTAAAAATAGATTCGAAGAAAGTGACATAATTGTCACACAGTTGCATTCAAGCAACTGTGTTCAAAATAACATAAAGCTTGACTAGGATAAAGTATGGTTGCGAATATAATTATAAAACTGCATCACTACATATTCAGTTATGTCTTGTTTTAAGTGTATAGCAGTGCTGCTAGAAGAGTATTAATGGTGCTGTTGAATGAAATAGCTCCCATTGCAGAGGCATTTGAAACTTCACACTGACACACTAGTGTGTGCTTTTGGGAGGAGGTGGCATGGAATGCAGACCATGTGCTCGATGGTGTGTGTGTGTGTGTGTGTGTGTGTGTGTGTGAGAGAGGTCAGAGTTCATGAGGCGTCACCCATCTGCTGGAGCCAGAGACCAGACTGCTGTTCTCTCTTATCACGTCTCTCAGTCCTCAGAAAGAAGTGGTTGTGGGTGATCTTTAAGATATTGGAACCATGGCAAAATGTTTAATGACTGTAACATAACAGGCATTTGAATACCAAATATCTAAAACTAATATGAATATCTATATATCTGTCTGTCTGTCATATGTTCGTTCTGTCGTACATTCTAATGTTTGTTCGTACGTTTATTCATTTGGTCAATCTGTAGTATGTTTTTGTTTGTGCTTTCATTTATTCTGTCTGTTGATCATTCTATCTATGTATTGTTCTGTCTGTCATACATTTGTTTGTTAATTCTGTCTATCATTCTATCTGTTGTTCTGTCTGTCGCATGTTCATTTAGTCGTTTGTTCTTTTTTTAGTAGTTCTGTGTGCGCATTCATACGTTTGTTTATTTGTATCGTTCTATCTGTCTGTGTCTGTCTACCTATTCTTTTGTTTGTTTTGTCTGTATATTCTGTCTGTCTATCTGGTTCTTTCGTCCTGTCATTCTATCTATCTATTGATTTTGTTCTGTCTATCTTGTCTGTCTGTTTTACATTTGTTTGTTTGTTTGTGCATTCATTTATTCTGTCTGCTGATCATTCAGTGTATTGTTCTGTCTGTCTATCTATCGCTCTATCAGTCTGTCTGTTTGTCTGTTGATTGTTTTGTCTATCTGTCTGTCTGTTCTAGCTATTTTTCTGTTTGTTTGCCAGTCTGTGACTGACTTTACTTTTCTAGTTTGAAGTTCATTATGTATATGGAGTTCTTTCGGTTTCTTTCAACTTCCTTAAATTCTAATTCAAACGGCAAGTCTTTATACTGTTTGTAACCCCAATTAAAATTCAGTTCAAATGAAGATATTTAATGTCAATTTAAAAACTTTCTCAATTCTATTCTAAATGATGCACAGTACTGTAACAAATTACTGAAATTCTTTCTCCGCCACAGCTCATTCTCATACCTCATTCTTACTTAAAACTTGTCTGTCAAGTCATCAGATGACATTCATTCTTTTTGGAGCTTGACAGACCTTGGTCACTATTTGTTTCTGCTTTTGAGTTCGCTGGAAGAAAGCAATGAGACACAAGTATGAATAAATGATGAGACAAATTTGTGGTGAACTAACCCTTTAAACTAAGCATAAATAGTCTGTAATAGCTCTCAGTATTGTAAAAAACAAACCAAAAAAAAACCACATATTAAGCAATAGCAAATTAATAAAATGGCTATAAAAAGTTATTGTTAGCAAATTTGTTCAGAGTAAATCATTCAAACCGGAGCTGACAAAGGGACTTTTGTAGACCCATAAACTCACCATGTATTTTCATACAAGACATAAACCATCAGAGAAAACACAGATAAATGCCAGAATGATAAACCGGCCCGGCTCTATCATTTATTATGCCTGAATGAAGCTTTCCTAGTTCACCACATTTCACATGGCCTACTTTCTGTACCCTGTTGAAAAATAACATCAGCATATTGTGTCCTTATCAAAATAATCTGCATTTGTTGCATGGCCTATCATGACATCTGATGCAATAACTACCTAATAACTAACTAACACAGAATACTGTGGCACCATGAGGAATAATAGCGTGTTATATAACTAATTGCTGGTTAAGGCCATGGACGTTGGACATCATGCACTCATTTTCAAGAGTTCAATTTTGTCATGCAGACACACCCACATCCAAACGTGTTGAGTCTCGGGTAAGTAAAACGACACGCCTAGTGGCTTACAGTAAGTAGGTAGCCATGCATGCTGGGACTTTTACTGAGACTTACAGTAGATGAGTGATGTACTGTATAGCTCTCTTATGATTTGTCTGTTTGGACAAAAACAAATGTAAACACATGCAAGAATGTTTGCTCTAGTGTCACTCGAACAAGCAGTAGCCGTCTTGCCATCACTAAGTGCATTTTTGCCAAATTATCAGTGTTTGGGTGTTGAATATTCCTTGTAATATACTCACTGTAACTAAGTAGAGACACTGTAACCAATTATGTAAGTACAGTAGGCTGCATGTTTATTTACCATGTTTTGTGCATTACAGTGAATGTTTTTTGTGTATGTGCTTTTATGCATTCTTTATTTCTGGTGGTGCCTTATTTATCCGTTCACCCTCGTGACCCAGTGCAGCTCGGAGCCCTCAGTAGTGGGTGTTCTTAAAGGGCCAGCGCTGCATCCTTGAATAGGGCTTCATTGTGCGCTGGCTGGAGTTCAGTCTGCCTGTGAGGCTCATAGAGGCAGTTTGTGCCAGTCCCCACAATTCATAAAGCTCTGATACATATGTGCATGAAGGAGGGGTGCCTGATGACATCATGCGGCCCGCTGCGCTCCTCCTTGCTGCCGACAGGCCGGGCGTAATGACTCTGGGATGTAGATTTAATGATTGTTCAATTAGTATGTAGGGCTCTGGAAAGTTGAATCTTTTAGCATAAGATTAAACATGTCAAAATTAAAAATATATTTTCTCAGCTTTACAATTATTTAAATGAGTCAATATAAGTTTGTAAAGCTACAGTGAGTTTTAGGCATGTTCATACATACTTTAAAATATAATAATGCTCATAAAGAAATTGGATATAAAAATAAAAAATTGTGTTTGCTTCAATAAAACAAAGTTAGTACATCTATTATTTTTATACATTTTTATAATTTCTTTCAGAATCTTCAAAAAAAGTTAATTCCTAACTTCTCTCTGAATTCTTAAAATCACCTCAGTAGTTTCAGTAAATAGGCTAGTAGCATGCCCATTTCCTGATTGACTTTAACCTACTTACAGCAGTTACTCTGAGGAAAACCAAACACTTAAAGGGTTAGTTCACCCAAAAATGAAAATTAGCCTGTGTTTTACTCACCCTCGAAGCATCCTAGGTGTATATGACTTTCTTCTTTCAGACGAAACCAGTCGGAGTTATATTAATGCGCAGCTTTATTTGACGACTTGTGAACTGTTCAATTGCAACACCCGCTGACTGCAATGATAGAGCTTGGAATAGCCAGGACAATTTTTAATATAACTCCGACTGGATTCGTCTGAAAGAAGAAAGTCATATACACCTAGGATGCCTTGAGGGTGAGTAAAACACAGCCTAATTTTCATTTTGGGGTGAACTAACCCTTTAAAAATTAAATGAATGTTATCGTTATTTATACTGGTAATTAGTCATATGGCACCATTTTCTGAGAATGAGCCCTAAATTTTTTTTAAATAAAATTGTGTGTTATATTTATTTTACACTTTAGTTTGGGGACCAATTCTCAATATTAACTAACTATTAATTAACTATTCTCACTATTAACTAACTATTAACTATAACTTTTGCCTCAATAGACTCCTAATTTGCTGGTTATTAATAGTTAGTAAGGTAGTTGTTAAGTTTAGGATTAAGGAATCTAAAATATGGTCATAAGGCAATAATATGTGCTTTACAAAATAAACAGCCAATATGCTAGTAATATGCATGCTAATAAGTAATATACCAATATGCTAGTAATATGCATGCTAATAAGTAATATATATATATATATATATATATATAAATCTTAGAGACTTTCCAACTGATTATGGTGGCCACAGAGAATCTGCTCAATTTAGGTTGACCTCTTTGCCCTGCCTCTGTCATTCCACACACAAGAGCATGGTCTTTCACAGTAGCTCTGATTTAATCTGAAATGACTGTTATTGGTCTTCCTCGTCCTCCTCTTCCTCCACCTCGTATACGCACTCTTCCTCTACCTCTCAGATTGATAAGTGCACCCATGCCACCTGTGCACTTTGAACTGGCTTATATTTTGTACATTCACATATTTAGAAACAAGTGTGAAGAGTTTTGAATTATTGTGTGTAAATGATGACAACTGTGTTGCAGTTGTGTTTAACTTTTGCTTTCTTGTGTTTAGGGTTTTGCATCACAAGTTTATCACGGTGCAAATAATTTTTTTTTTTTTTAAGTTTTAGTGAGTGAGAATGTGTTTATAGTTTTGCAAAAAGAGTGCATGAGATCTGCAAACAGTGTCTAAACTGCCTGAACTTGTTTAAGGTTTTGCAGAAAGAGTGATTTATTTGACAAATTGGTTTATGGTATTGAGAATTTGTTTCAGAGAATGAAGTTTAGTGTCTTAGCAAATGTGAAAAACTGTAATAGTGGGAATAGGTCCATAAACTAAAGTGTTACTTACTTACCTTATTTATGTATTTATTTATTTGTTTGTTTGTTTATTAATTAAACCATTTGAAAAAGTTTGGGACAGTTTGTATACCAGAT